GTGAGTACCCCAAGGAGCGTTTGTGTCCTTATACGTCACTCCATGTGCGTGTGTTTGTGAATGGAGAAGGCTGCGTGTTTTGGCTTTAAAGGGATAGTTCACTCAGAAATGTAAATGTAAAGCGCAAAAGAAGATATTTCAAAAAATGTTGGAAACCGTGTTTTTTGTTTAAAGAGATAGTTCACCCAAAAATGTTCATTCGGTCATTTTTTATTCACCGTTTCAGACCTTTAAGAGTTTTTTTCCTCTGTTGAAGGTGAAAGAAGATATTTCAAAGAATGTTGGAAACCGGTAACCATTGACTTCCATTGTATTTGTATTTTTGCTTTACTATGGAAGTCAATGGTTACAGGTTTTTGGCTTACGACAAAAGAAAATATTTCGAAGAATGTTGGAAACTGTTAACAATTTCCATCGTGTTTGTATTTTTGTTTTACTCTGGAAGTCAATGGTTACATGTTTTCTGCTTGCTTTTAAAAATATCTTCTTTTGCGTTCGAAGGCTGCATTATTTTGGGATTAAAGGGATATGTCACTTATTAATTCTGTCATTATTTACTAGCTTTAGGCTTTTATGAGTTTTTTTTTCTGTTGAAGGCAAAAGAAGATATTTTGAAGAATGTTGGAAACCTGTAACCATTGACTTCCATTGTATTTGTATTTTTGCTTCACAATGAAAGTCAATGGTTGCATGTTTTTTGGCTTAGAACAAAAGAAGATATTTCAAAGAATGTTGAAAACCGGTAACTATTGATTTTCATTGTATTTGTATTTTTGTTTTACTGTGGAAGTCAATGGTTACAGGTTTTCTGCTTGCTTTTAAAAATATCTTATTTTGCGTTTGAAGGCTGTGTGTTTTGGGTTTAAAGGGATAGTTCACTCATAAGTTCTGTCATTATTTCCTCACTGTTTACTTGCTTTAGACTTTTATGATTTTTTTCTGTTGAAGGCAGAAGAAGATACTTTGAAGAATGTTAAAAAACCTGTAACCATTGACTTCCACTGTATTTGTATTTTTATTTTACTATGGAAGTCAATAGTTACAGGTTTTGCTTCAAAATATCTTCTATTGCATTTGAAGGCTGTGTGTTTTGGCTTTAAAGGCATAGGTCACTCATAAATTCTGTCATTATTCACTCACGGTTTACTCTTTTCAGACCTTTATGAGTTTCTTTTATCTGTTGAAGGCAATAAAAGATATTTCAAAGAATGTTGGAAATCGGTAACAATTGACTTACATAGTATTTGTTTTCTCTACTATGGAAGTCAATAGTTACAAGTTTTTTGGCTTTCTTCAAAATATCTTCTGTTGTGTTTTTAAGACTGTGTTTTGGCTTTAAAGGGATGGTTCACTCATAATTTCTGTCATTATTTATTAAAATAAAAAAATTCAAAGGGGGCTAATAATTCTGACTTCAACTGTATTTTAATGTTGTGTATTATTTAGCTTTAAAAGCTTGTGCTTTAGGTGTTTGAGAGTCTAAAATACACAAAAGTTGTGTCCAACAAGTTAAGGAAGTAGGAAATACTATTGAAAACATGTAAAAACATTTAAACATTTAAATAAAATTAACTGAATAGGCATGTAAATGTACAATAAATCAGTATCTTATTGACTGTCAGCCAGTGGGAAAGTTATTTTAGTGATATTGATGTAATAAATGTTGTATTTAGATCATGTTGCAGCCATGTTTCAGTTAGTTGTTTTAATAACACTGTTAAACATTAGCTTTAATGAAATAAAATCAATAGCCATGATTAGTACTGTAGCTTGTAGTTTTGCGAAGCCCAAGTTCCCTGGTTTATTTCATTTTTCAATTCATTCATTCATCTTGCTTCGATGTAATCCTTTTTTTTCCATCATGGGTGCCACAGCGGAATGAACCGCCAACTTATCCAGCATTTGCTTTACACAGTGGATGCCCTTCAATTTATTGTTTTAAATATATAATAAATTGCGTCATGGTGGCGCAGTGGGTAACACGATCGCCTCACAGCAAGAAGCTTGCTGGTTCGAGTCCCTTGATGGATAGATGGAACAAATGATGGATGCATTGATGGAAGGATAGATGGATGGATAGAACAATGGATGGATGGAAGAAATGATGGATGGATGGATGGATAAATAGACGGTTGAATGAATGAATGAAACAATTGACGGAGGGATGGATGGAAGGATAAATAGATGGTTGGATGGATGGAACAAATGACGGATGGATGGATGGGTGGATGGATGGATAGAATGATGGATTGATGGAACAAATGACGGGTTGATGGATAAATAGATGGTTGGATTGAACAAATGATGGATGGATGGATGGATGGATAGAATGATGGATGGATGGAACAAATGACGGAAAGATGGATGGATGGAGCATATAATGGATGAATGGATGAATGGATAGATCAAATATATGGATGAAACAAATGACGGATTGATGGATAGAACAAACGGATGGAACAAATGACAAACAGATGGATGGATGGAACAAATGAGATGGTTAGATGGATGGAACATTTGATGGATGAATGGATGGATGATAGAATGATAAATGAATTGATTTATGGAAGGATGGATAGATAGGACAAATGAATGGATGAAACAAATCCCATTCATTCTCTCATTCTCTGAGCTTTTCAGCACCTTTCCCTTTTTCACGGTCGATCTCTGACAATTAGCTTGTGTTGCACTTACACTGTTTGCTTGACATTCTTGCCAGATTTTGATTATGTCCACGTAACCTCTGATTGGGTCGGCCCCTCTCGAAACCAGCCGGCCATCACGATTGGGCCAAATGCTGAACGTTTACTATTATTATTATTATTATTAGCATCATCATCATAATATTTACATCTTGCACGGGATAAAAGCTGCCTGCATGTAAAAACAATACATATAAAAATAATAACAAATAAAAAAAAAACTGACCGGCCCACATTTAAAAAAAATGGTGCACAAAAGTTGCCAGGATAGCCAGATGGATGAATGGTTGGATGATAGATAAAATGATAGATGGATTGATTAATGGATGGAAGGATGGATGGATGGATAGATAGATAGAACAAATGAATGGATGAAATCAATGACGAATGGATGGATTGATTTATAGAAAGATAGATAGATGAATGGATGGATACAACAAATGGATGGAACAACTGACGGACAGATGGATGGATGAAACAAATGTCAGATGGTTGGATGGATGGAACATATAATGGATGGATGGATAAAATGATAGATGGAGTGATTAATGAATGGATGGAAGGATGGATGAATTGATAGCACAAATGGATGGATGAAACAAATGAATAGATGGATTGATGAACAGAAAAATAGATAGATGAATGGATGGATAGAACAAACGGATGGAACGAATGACGAACAGACTGATGGATGGAACAAATGATGGATGAATGGATGGATTGTAGATAGAATGATAAATGGATTAATTAATGGATAGAAGAATGGATGGACAGATAGAACAAATGAATGGATGAAACAAATGACAAATGGATGGATTGATGGATAGAAAGATAGATGGATGAATGGATGGATACAACAAATGGATGAAACAAATGATGGATGGATGGATTGATGGATAGAAAGATAGATGGATGAATGGATGGATACAACAAATGGATGAAACAAATGACGGATGGATAGATGGAACGCATGATGTTTGGATGGATGGATGGATAGTAGAATGATAGATGGATTGATTGATGAATGGATGGATCCATAGAACAAATGGAAGGATGGAAGAATAGAACAAACGAAACAAATGATGGATGGATGGATAGACGGATGGAACAAATGACAGATGGTTGGATGGATTGATGGATGGATAGAATGGTAGATGGATGGATTGATCAATGAATGGATGGAAGAATGGATTGATGGATGGATGATAGATAGAACAAATGGATGGATGAAACAAATGAATAGATGGATTGATGAATAGAAAAATAGATAGATGAATGGATGGAAAGAACAAACGGATGGAACGAATGACGAACAGACTGATGGATGGAACAAATGATGGATGAATGGATGGATTATAGATAGAATGATAAATGGATTGATTAATGGATGGAAGGATGGATGGATGGATGGATAGATAGAATAAATGAATGGATGAAACAAATGACGAATGGATAGATTGATGGATAGAAAGATAGATAGATGAATGGATGGATACAACAAATAGATAAAACAAATGAAATGGATGGAATGCATGATGAATGGATGGATAGATAGAATGATAGATGGATTGATTAATTGATGAATGGATGGATGCATAGAACAAATGGAAGGATGAAAGAATAGAACAAATGGATGGATGAAACAAATGATGGACGGATGGATAGACGGATGGAACAAATGACAGATGGTTGGATGAATAAATGGATGGAAAGAATGGTAGATGGATGGATGGATAGAGCAAATGGATAGATGGAAGGATAGAACATTGATGGATGACACAAATAACGGGTGGTGGATGGATGGATTGAATAATAGGTGGTTGGTTGGATAGGTAGAACAAATTTATGGATGGAACAAATGACCGATAGATGGAAGGATGGATGTATGAAAGAAATAGATGGATTGATGGATGGATGGATAGAACAAATGGATCGATGGAAGAATAGAACACATGGTTGGATGAGACAAATAATAGGTGGATGGATGGATTGAATGATAGGTGGATGGTTGGATAGGTAGAACAAATGGATGGATGGAAAAATGATGGATGGATGGATGGATCAAATGGATGGATAAAACAATAACAGATGGATTGATAAATATATGGATGGATGGAACAAATGATGGATGGATGGATTGATGGATGGATAGATGGATACATATATGGATGGATGGATAAATATATGGATGGATAGCACAAATGAAGGATGGATGGATGGATGGGTAAATATATGGATGGGTAAATGTATGGATGGATGGATGGGTAAATATATGGATGGATAGTACAAATGATGCAT